TGGAAGCGGAGTGGTGCGGTGCGAAGATGGAGACTTTCGGGGGTGGAGAGAGGTGAAAGCGTGGGAGGCTGCCAGCGTTGGAGGGGATCCTGCTTCCAGGGCTGACTTCTTTCCTTCTTTCTTTCTCTTTTAATGACTGCAGCAAGCGCTGGTAGCACGGGTGTTTGTTGTTTCCCAAGAAAACTTCAAAATCAAATGACTTCTTCCACTTTCAAGGTTGTCCGTTATCCTTAGCCATCCAGCGAAACCCAGTCGCGTGCAGCTGGGACAGACCTTTCCCAAGGCAATGGGAACTATGCCATGAGGACTGGTAAGGCTTGGCTGTAGCCATGACGGAGCCCCACAGGGTTTCGTTCACTACTCTCCACGGCCCACTGAGCAGCAGCTTCTTGAAAAGGTCTCGGAAAGACGATGGAGAGCAGCCCCAGGACTCTGAACCAGCTGCGACAGCTGTTCGAATCACGCTCACTCTCTTTGAGCCGGATCACAAACGTTGTCCAGAATTTTTCTACCCTGATCTTCTGAAGAGTTCCCGAGGGAAAGTAAAAGGTGGTTCTTCAGGAGACAAGGTGAGTGTCCTCGTCGCCTGTGGGCAACTGAGGTCACACCTGAAGATTTCAAAGGCTTTTTCAGTATTGCTCCTTTATTGCTGTTTTGAGAGTCGGTTGGGTGTGAGGTGCTGAGAGGTGGCAGGAGGGTGCCCAGTCAGCCCAGTGGTGGCAGGAGAACTGGCATCCAGACAGGGTTTCTTGTTGTCAGGCCACGCTGTGCCACTCCCCTGCCTTGGCTGAAGTTTCACATCAGAAGGGTGAAGTGTTGGTGGCAGAGCGTGGGACGTAGTGCTCGTTTAGTTTGGAATTGCTTGATCCAGAGTGGTTTTTGGTACCTGGCTGGCTAGCAGCTCTGAGCAGCCCTTTTCCAAAGAGCATCAAAAGGAGAAATGCTTCTGTGACACGTGGCTGTGTCTTTTTGGGGGCCCTGCTCTACTCCACGTGAGTATTTCCACCTTAGTGCTTGGCATCTCTTCCTGTGTGGTGGACGTGGTGCTTCCAGGTGTTGCCTGACAGTTCTGTTTGCCTGTTGAAAGCCGTTTCTCAGGATACATCGGCACGCAAACTTCTGTAGCACCTGGACTTTGTCTTATGGGTGTTTTTCTGTGAAAAGAAGGTTGATTGGATTCTACTCGTTTTTCCTGTTGCTGTGCAGAACCATTGAGCAGTCAGTTGATGGTTCCTGCTGCTTATATTTTTGTTTTGTTTTGAGAGTTGGGAGAAGCGGAGACAGATACAGAACTAGCTGAGAGAGCTCCCAAAACTCAAAATCATAGAATGGTTTGGGTTGGAAGGGACCTTTAAATGTCACCTAGTCCAGCCCCCTGCAGTGAGCAGTGACATCTTCAACTAGATCAGGTTGCTCAGAGCCCCGTCCAGCCTGACCTTGAATGTTTCCAGGGATGGGGCATCTCCCACCTCTCTGGGCAACCTGGTCCAGTGTTTCACCACCCTCAGTGTAAAAAAATTCTTCAAATCTAGTCTGAATCTCCTCTCTTTTCATTTAAAACCATCACCCCTTGTCCTGTTGCAAAAGTCTCTGCTAAAAAGCCTGTCCCCATCTTTCTTATTAGCCCCCATTTAGGTACTGGAAGGCTGGTGGAAGGTCTCCCGGGAGCCTTCTCTTCTCCAGGCTGACCAGCCCCACCTCTCCCAGCCTGTCCCCATAGCAGAGGTGCTCCAGCCCTCGGATCATCTCCGTGGCCTCCTCTGGACCGGCTCCAACAGCTCCATGTCCTTCTGATGTTGGGGACCCCAGAGCTGAATGCAGCACTGGTCTCCCGAGAGCAGAGCAGAGGGGCAGAATCCCCTCCCTCGCCCTGCTGCCCACGCTGCTTTGGATGCAGCCCAGGACATGGTTGCCTTTCTGGGCTGCCAGCGCACGGTGCTGGCTCATGTCCAGCTTTTCATCCACCAAGTCCTTCTCAAGGTTCTCGCAATCCCTTCGTCCCCCAGCCTGTGTTGATAGCAGGTGTTGCCCTTGTTGAACCTCATGAGGTTACACGGGCCCACTTCTCAAGCTTGCCCAGGTCCCTCTGGATGCCATACTTTCCCTCAGGCGTGTCAACCACACCACTCAGAGTGGTGTCACCTGCAAACTTGTCACCTCGATCCCCGTCTCTGTCACTGAGGAAGATATGGAACGGGACTGCACTAAATGTTCTGCTAAAGGTCGATTTAGCAGAGCTTCTGCCTGGACGGACGCGCTCGTCGTGATGGGTTTAAGGCATGGGGCTTTGGTGGCGGGGTGACAGGATGGGTTCTGATGGTTTTGACTCTTTTATTTCCACAGAAGAAAGACCCTGCTGATCCCTTTAATGATGACGAAAAGGAAAGGCATAAAGTGGAGGCTCTTGCTAGGAAGTTTGAAGAAAAATACGTACGTTTCTATTCTTTTTGTTACGTTATCCCTTCACGAGTAATGCTGTTCCGCTCTCAACCAGTAGGATTTAATGGTTGTTGGCTCTTAGCTACCTCTTCTCCTGCAGTCCTTGGCTGGAAGGTGTTTCTGTGTTTCTTTCCTGTCCCAGGGCTGTGGTCCACAAAAATAGTTCAGCTATGTTCTTAAATCAGCTGACAGCCTGATTCAAGTCAATTATGTTCTCACTTGTAGCGGGAAATAACTTACAGTAGTTTATAAAACTTAATTTTCTTAAGAAAAAATAAATTTCTAGGCCTTGTCGCTGCGACACGATGTCACCTGTCAAGTGTGGTGCTCTGGTGAGCCTGCTGCCCTTAGGACAGTGCCACTCTGGGTAGCATGGGAGGCACTGATCTGTCTTACCCCTTTCCTTTTTGTTCTTCCTCTCGTTTTAGATGGCAATAAAACTCCGTTGTGATTCATGGCCGGCACTTTTGGGTAGTGAGTTGCTCTGTCATGATGTGAATTTGACCTGTGGGTCACTCTAACACATCGTGTGTGTATGATGCCTATAGAACCGAGTTCGTATTGCCTGTGTGGCAGTTGAGGAGGAACAATCTGTCTCTGCAATAGGGGAAATGTTGAAGGGCTGCAGACCCAACCCGATGTAAAGTCTGCTGGCACAAAGTCAGCCTGGCTGGCAGGGCAGCGTTTGGTTTCATTTGGCTGCACCGTTTTTGGTTCCCTATGACAAGGCCAAAAAAATGGATTTAGTGTATCCTGAGGTGACAGTCTAATGGGAGTTAACGCTGCTTTGGTTCTGCTGCTGCCAGGAACAAAAAAAAGCTCATTCCCTTTTCCTTCCTGGAGCCAATGTCAGTGTCCTGTGTCAGGGCTATCCCTGGGGTTACTGGAGAAGGAAGATGAACACACTGTTGATCTTTGATTATTTAGGGTGGCAAGAGACGGAGGAAGGACCGTATTCAGGACTTGATTGATATGGGGTATGGCTACGACGAATCTGACTCCTTCATCGACAATTCTGAAGCCGTGAGTACTGGGGCAGGCGTGAGGGTGGTTAGAGCAGCTGCCAGGGGTGCTGAGCTGGCACCTGGGGAGAACCTGAACCAGGTGCAAGCCAGAAGTGTGCCAGGGTTGGGGAACAGGAGATCCTGGGGCAGCCACATGGCAGGAGAATGCTGGTTAGCAGGTGTATCCACAGCTCTGCCGATTCTCGGGGGAGCACGAATCCCACTCCGTTCTCCAGGCAGCTCAGCTACAGAAAAAAATAACAAAGCTTGCAGTGCCAATAGATTATTCTCCGTTATTTCCAGTACGATGAGCTTGTTCCCGCGTCTCTTACGACGAAGTATGGAGGGTTTTACATCAACTCAGGAACACTGCAGTTTCGGCAAGCGTCTGAATCTGAAGATGACTATGTTAAAGAGAAAAAGAAGAAGTGTCCCAAGGTCAGCAAGCCAGCTTTCTCGATTGTTTCCTCTGGTAGAGCTCTGGTGGGTCTGCCGCATGAAAAGTGCGTTGACATTCAAAACAGAGCAAGACTTGTGAATTGGTGTGGTCAGAATAGGGATGAACTCTTGAAATCCCATTCTGTCCACATATTTGATAGTCAAATGGAAGCATGGAGGGCATGGATGAGACTGGTGGGGTTGCCTGGTTCCTAGAGTAGAGGTGACTGCAGCCCCTTGTCACCCTGAAAAATCGATTAGCATTATGGGGATGGAGAAACTAGTGCTCCTCTTCGGTGGCAATGCTTGTTGGAGACAGCCCCGTTTTCATGATGCCAAAGCGAGGTGGCTAAAAAGGGAAACAACAGGAGCACTTGGCATCCCTTCCCCATTCTTGATAGTCTCTGGTGTGAAAGCTAGGTGTGCTGTGAAATGTTGAAGACTCTGTGTGCCAGAACCATGGTGATAGATGTCTGGGCTTTGGGTTGATGTGTCCAGTGGGGAAGGAGCTCTTCTCAGATTCTTGGGAGAGGGTCCAAAGTGGCTCTGGGGCTGCAGGTCCAATTCCATGAGTAGGAGAAGCTTTGATTGTGATTTGGTTTTAACCCTCTCCAGAAGCGGAAGTTGAAAGATGGAGGTGAGAAAATGAAGAAGAAGAAGAAAGATGATTCTTATGACAAGGAAAAGAAATCCAAAAAGTCCAAGTTTCCAAAAGCAGGGTAAGGAGTGGGGGGAATGGTTGCTGCTCGACACTTTGCTTCAGGTGGCATTTGTTATGCTGCAGTAGTACCTGTTGCAGTGGGGGGTGGCTTGAGCACGTGCTGCATAAACACCAGCAGGTAAACCCCAGTTGCTGCTGAAGTGGGGGGAAAAAAAAGGCATCTGACACTCAGGGAAGGAGCAGAGCTCCACAGCAAGAGTGTCTGAGCAAAGAGGGGCACAGCTGGCTGGAATGTTGGTGTTGCTCGGAGCTCAGTTTAGGCTTTAGTGGGAACAGATATTGGAGAGCCTGAAGAGACTATTGGGACAAAGTTGGGGAAGGAAAGGGAGGCAGGAAGGGCATGAGCTCGGAGCCGTACGAGTGTCTGCTGCAGGGGGAAGAGGTTGGAAGGCCATGGGTGGCCAGAGAAGGCCATGGGTGGCCAGGACAGAAGTTGTGTGTTGCTGCTCTTGCTGGGCAATTGTTTGTACCCCTGCACTCCTGCCCAAAGTATTTCTGGGACGAGTGCTCAGCTTATTTTATAGCTTCTCTCTTTTTGGGCTGTAAATATAAGTGATGATTCTTCTTGTTAGGAGTCACCTTGTTCTGCTGGTCTGTCCTGGCTGTGGTCTGCCTGGCCTCTCTGTTTCAATGTCTGTATCTGTTGCTTTTGTCTCTTTTCCGGCATTTTCCTCCTAGTTTTTTTTCCTTTTTCCTGTAACTGTTCTTCGGGATTTCCTTTTTCCTGCATGGATCTGCTTTCTGGCGACACCAAACCATGTGTCTGACGTGGTACTGTCAGTGTGCGATTCCTTCGTGGCGAGTAAGGAAAAGGAATTTGCTCTCCTGGTTTTAATAGGCAAAAAGCATCCAGCTGCTGTCACGCTAAGTCTCTCTTGCTTCAGTTCCTCTGTTAGCTGCTTGTCCATTTCCCAATATTCTTTGCTGGAATAATACACATAGCTAAATAAGAGTGTAGCTCAGTGGAGACAATTTAAGCTCCATCCCCTCTCTGCAGGGAGGAAGGACAGACTCCTCCTCTTCTCCGAGCTGAACAAGCAGCAGGACCTTAAGGACATAGAATGTTTTTCTTGGTGTAATTGGTTACGGGGTTAAGATTTTCCAGGGGATTGGTGCCTATGGCTGAAGTGACCTGGGATGAAGGTATCCTCGTCTCTTCCCTTTCATCTTGTATTCATTTCATTTCCCTTTCCTCTCCCGTACTTTGTTGACAGTTTCACAGCGTTAAATGCAAGCAAGGAGAAGAAGAAGAAAAAATACTCTGGCGCTCTGAGTGTCAAGGAGATGCTGAAGAAGTTTCAGAAGGAGAAGGATGCTCAGAAGAGAAAAGATGAAGACCAGAAGGTGGCGACTCCTTCACCGGCAGAACCTCCAGCCCCGCGGGAAGCGGAGGCGGTGGCTGACCCTCTGCTGTCGCTGTTTGGCCACGCCAGCGATCACGACCTGCTTCAGGCAGCGACAGCTATGGACTCCTTAACCGACCTGGACCTGGAGCGGCTCCTCAGCGAATCCCCCGAAGGGAGTCCCTTTCCTGATGTGGAGGACGGGAGCGATCCTGTTGGGATGGGCTTGGAGCAGGATTTCAAGCAACCGCCGTCCCTCCCAGACGGCCTGCCGGCCCCTCTGGAGAAACGCATCAAGGAACTGGCCCAGGTATGGGGGTTCGTTGCAGGGCGGTAGAACCGTGCGGTTACTGGAGGGGGGATGGCTCTGCTGGGTTTGGGTGGCTTCACCCAGAGACAGGATGCTCCAGCTGGGGAGTTTTGCGTTGCCATGTGGGATCGCACCTTTGTGTCACCTGGTTTTATGGCCAAGTCACTTTCTTGACCACCCAA